AAGTCGTGGCTCATGCAGTTGGAGGCGCCGCGGCTGGAACAACCCGGCTAAAAACTCTCCAGGCAACTCTGGTGGGATATTATTTGGTGCAACCGGTAGCTCTCCCGGGGTTGGTGACTGGTGCAGCCTGATTGGAGCAGGACTGGTCACGTGAGCCCCTGAGCAAATCCACTGTCCAAGGAGGACGTAGTTGGTGGGAATCATAATGGTTACTCTAAAGATTGTAAGTACAGGAAATAAGATATTTTTAAAGATAGGAGTAACTTATGACAGCCTTAGCACCTATGGTCCCACCATGTTCCTGGAATACACCAGAGACATTTCTGTCCCTGCTTCAGAGTCGGCGTCCTAGGGGATAGCTGGTTTCTCCAGGGACCGGTCCCTTGCAGGAGCATCTGTTAGGAGAGGTCCAGAGAGGTGGTCCGTGTAGCAAGCCGCGTCTGTCCAAGTAACCTCCTTGCACGACCCACGTCTGCTATTTCATCTCCTTCCAGGATCCCAGAAACAGTTGCCTCCTTGAGAAGAAAAATAAACGGTTGTCCCCAAACCAGTCACACAACACAGGCGTCAAGGCGAATACCTTCGATTCAAAACCAGCTCAGCTCTGCCTTGCCCTGCTTGCTGGCTCGTGCTTTCAAGATGATTCACGCTAACTCATTCTTCTTGCCCATATGTCCCGGCCTCGTATTTTACACCACCAGACGGGGATACTAATTAAACTTCAGCGTTCACTGTAGCAGTGCTTAAACTGAGATTCGCAGGGACATGGCTGGCAGTAATCAATATATCTGCTACACTTGTAGTGATTTAAGGCGAACGCCATGGAGACTGCTCAGAATAAAAGCGAATGAGCTCTGTAAATTTAATTTAGAGGAATTATAATTTGATCACCCAGAAATATATTAGAGGCTTCTTGTATGCTTCGAGAAAACTCAGGCTGTGGTTTGAGCAAGATCTGTGATTCAACCAGGAATACTTTATTTACAATGAGGTAAACAATAGGCCCCATCTGCCCACTGGCCCAGCCTCAGGAATCCCCTCCCCAGCAGCAGGGCTGTTCTAGTTTCACTGTTTTCACTTGTTCACTGGTTGAAAACAGTGATTTCAGTCTGATGGCATCTCACCTGGGGGTCGGAATTTGAGTCACTAGCAAAGTCCTGTTCAGGCCAGTCCAAGGAGTTTTTCTGAAACTGTGAGCAGTAGCCAGGTGGTCGCTTCCCTTCCATGTCCTTCTCCAGGGCTTGCTGTGTGTTGATCACAGAAAGAAAAATACCACCTGTTCTCACTACGTGGTGGAAGGTGGGAAGCAGAGCATCGAGGAATGATGGCCATGCCATCTGAATGGGAGGGAGCGCCCCAGGCCTTTGTCTTTCGGTTTCCTTCCCATAATATGAGGGGACTTCCAAATGTCCGTGGGAAGTATGAGCTTATTTTGGTGCACGAACTTTTTCAAATGCATGAATAAATTATTTACTTTTTAATTTTATTATGTTTTAGTTTGCTACAGGGCACGCGTACTCACAAGAGAAAGATGGGGGTGGGTTGGTTGGTGGGAGGGGGTGAGAAATCCCCCAGGGAAGATGGCCATGTGGCAGTCCCTTCTCCAGTCTCCTCTTGGAATTTTGGGTGTGCATGTACATGCATCTGGCATGTTTTCAAGACTTTGAGTCTGGGGCTCAAATCGCACACTTGGCCATGTGGGATCGAGTGGCTTTAAACTCTCCACCACCTGCTAGTCCCATAGTTTTTTCATAATACACACATTCCACGATCTTTCTGAAGATCCTGCATACAAGGAACGCGGCTGCATTTAAAAGAACAAAAATATTCTTGCAAACTCTTTCACATTTCCTTTGCCCATTACTGACATTGACCAATTGATTGCATTAGTGATTGCACTTCTTGCCAGACATGCGTGCACCCACTCTCTGCTGTCTCAATTTAGTTGTGCTAGTTGGCAGCAGGGTGCTTGCGTGTGCTCTCTGTCTAGTGCATTCTCTCCTCGGGTGCCGAGAGCTGAGTTGGTAAAACTCCTCAGAATATAAGTATTTGTTTTCACCATTGGCCATGCAAATTGTCTTATTTTATTTCCCAGCCTAAACTCATTCCCATTTCCTTCTCCCCAATAAGTAACAGCTATAATATTTTATTTTATATAAAACATATTTTAGAGAAGGATATACATGTTCATAGTCTTGATTATTTATGTATCCTTGTTCTTTCCTGTGTATGATGTTTTGTCTGCTATTTCCATTGTTTTGCTATTTTTAATTTTCAGATTAATTTTACATTTTACATAGTCTTCTTCATGATGTACACCATATATATGTATGTGTATATATATATATGTTTCTTAAACAGAGAACTTGGCATTTTTTTGTTAAATGCTTCTTTCCTTTGCACCTCCCACCTCCCTTCTAGCATTCTCTACCACCCACTCCCCTTCTTTACAGTCTGTTTTCTCTCCTTGTTCTCTTGACTATCTTATCTTCAGATCTTTCCACTTCTGCCACAGAATGCAGATATTAGGTACACATTGAGTGGGGATATACAGTGTGTATCTTTCAAAGTCTGGCTCACTTTACTCAACATTAAGTCTTCTATAGTCATCCACTTTGAATCAAATGATAGGGTCTCATTGTTTCTTATACATGTATAAGTATATACATGTTTTTCAATCCAGTCATCAGTTTTTATGGGCACTTAGGTTGGCGCCATGTTTTAGCAGTTGAGAATAGTGCTAAATTATAAACATGGATGTGCAAGTATCTTGGGCCAGCAGGTGGTGTGGTGGTTAGGGTGCTGGATCCCACATGGTAGGCTGCATGGCTGAAGTCCTGGATCTAGTGGATTGAAAAACATGCTGGACGTTTGTGTGTGTGTATGTGTGTGTTCAAAATCTGGAGAGGAGATTGGAGGACAAGGGATTGTGGCATTAGCATCCCCCTTGGGGGATGATTTCTCACTTTCCCTCTCTCTTTCTCAGTTTCTCTCTGGCAAGTGTACGTACCCATAATAAAACCTGAAAAAAAAAATTGCTGCACACTTTTATAATGTGGATTTTATTTCTCAAGGAACTTCTTGGCATTCTTTCTGCATCTGTTGGCCTGCATTTGCCAAGTAGAACCATGACAAATGATTGTATGGCAGGATGCTTCCAAAATATTCTGCAGTCTTATTGCCATTGAGGGCCTTGGGATAATGAAGAACAGAGACACTGGGCTTTTAAATGGAATTCACACTTATTTACACGTACACTTATTTGGTGTACATTTAAATGCCTCACTGAGAATTAGTTAAAAGGAAATGGCTCCCTGAGGGTAAAAGAAGACCAGGTATTGGGAGTAGTAACTTAGCTCTTAATGCTGATCAAGTGCATTTAGAGAGGAGCTCACATCTCCGGAAGTACCTAAGTCCCTTTTACCTCGTCCACCTGGATCTATTTGGCCTAATTAATAGGTTAATACCAGTGCTACTCCTTCATTCAAAATAAGGACCAGAATATATTCTGGAAATCACTTAATTCTAATCATTTTATCAAGCTATGTGTGAATTAATCCCAAAGATTAGGTCAATAGCCACTAAGTTTAAGAAAAATGGCCTAGGTGCAGGTATCTATCTGGCAAAAGTAGGTTCACCAGGGATGTATCCAAATAGGCCTGTCTTTGAACAGTGACTCTATCTCTACCACAACTTGGGAAAGATTAATTCTTTTTTTAAAAATTATTTTATTTAACTTTAATTATTATTATTATTTTCACATGAGTTTTGACAGAGAAAGACTGAGAGAGAGAGAGAGAGAGAGAGAGTAAGCAAGTCGCCATGTCTGGGACTCGAACTATGGTCAGCCATGTGGGAATTCCAGCACCTTAACCACCACAACACTTGCTGGCCCCCAAGATTAAATCTTGATAGATACTTCAGTGCTTGGAACTTGCTTTTGTTGAAGGTTGGAAACTACCTCTGAGAGAATCAAGTGGTACAAAACATGAAGAATCAATTTTAGGATAATTAAAACTATTTTGAATTTTTTATTTATCAATCTGGCTTCTAATATAATTTTAGTTAAATGAAAGACATTCACAAAGAATATTAGGCATACATACATAATTTCCTTCTTTCATTCTAGTTTACATGCTGTTGCTTTTAGAGAGTGACATTTTGTGTTGTTCCACAGGGATGGAATCCTAATTGAGTTTACAGAAAGAATATTTAGCCCAGCTTTTCACAGCTCTAACCTCCGCAGTCATCGTGCTCACTTACAGAATTAAAAAAATCCGACAAAACAAAACTTGGAATCAATACATTTAGAATGGTTTCTTGGCCTCCCCCAGAGGAACTTCCATATTTTCACAGGTATCAGAAACCAGCAGTTGTCAACACATGGTGCAAACCAGTCTTTGCTCAATGGGAGGCAACAATCCATTTCCCCATTTCATATACAATGAGTTTGATGAACCACTCTTAGAAAATAATACTGCTGTGAGATGAATGTGCTCTAAAGGTTCCAACCTTCTCACATAGAATATGTGTAGTTAGGCCCAGAGCTATCAGGCATCACAAAACCGTCACATCTGTGTTCTGTGCTGGCTTATTTATAAGCATGGCTATTCACATGGGGAGGGGAGCTGTGTAAGAATAGGTAAGATGAACCGAAAGTCATGTCCAATAGCAATTCAGGCTTTATGAACAAAAATTCTGATTTTTTTGGCTTCTGGCTGTGTTGTATCTCTCAGTCCACCTAATAATAACTTAGCAGTGGTACAGCAATGCCCTAGAAGTCTCCATATCCCAGATGTGGCTGCATTGTTGCTTTTGATGGGACTTTCCGATCACAAGGCAGGAAGTAAGACTTCCAGTAGGCTCCATTGAGTTGGCCTTAATGTCTGGGTTTCCAAGTGTATGGTCAAGAATCAATGGCACCTCACAGTTGTCTTACGAAGTGGGTAGAACAGATTTATCTTAAATAAGGGACATAAAGGTAAGTCCAGGGACTTGAGCAAGGTCACAGAACAAGGCAAGGAGAGAAATGGTAGGACTCGGGCAACTGATTCCCAGAGTCCACTCTCATAGAACATCATTTGAAGATGGTACCCCTTGGTTTCTAGTCACATCAGCTGGGTACATTGTTATTTTATTTCTCACCAAGTTCAGGATCAGTGGTTCTGCTGGGGGTGACTCAAATTCAGTTCAGTAATTGCTGCCTTTCTTTTTGAAAACTGCTTGATGGGATGGTGGAAGAAAAAACATATTAGGAGGTGTTCATTGTTTGGCAGTATGAGTCACAAAGGGACTATTAAAACATTTCATCATGAGAGGAGGATACGATGTAGAGAAGAGAAGGAGAAAGAACAAGGGAGAAGATGGAACAGACCCTGTCACTGAAAGAGATAAGAGTTTCTCTTTGACACTAACCAAGCATTTGCACTTTCATATCCCATAATGATTTGTTTTTTTCCTGAAACACTTTTTCTTCACTCTCTCTCTTTTTTCTAGTTTACCAGAGGGAGTGAAGATAGATGGAAAGAAAGCATCCCTCACAGTGAATGCTGCAATCCCTTCTTCATCTCTCCCTCCTTTTGGGATTTTGGGCATGCACACACACACACACACATACCAGACATGTTTTTACATACAGCCAAATCCAGGACTAGAACCACAGAGTTGCCTATGTGGGATCTGGTCACCTTAACCACCAAGCCATGGCTAACCCCTGAAGTGCTTCCTATGGTTTGTGTCTTTGTGCCCAGCTCTCAATTGCACTGAGTGGCAGCTCATCAGAGGGTCAACTGACATCAATATCTATTCTTTGGCTCATGCCAAGAGTTATTCCTGTGCCTCTGAATGCTGGCTTCTCAAATGCAGGGCAACAAGAACTTCACTAACCAAGGCACTGCGAAGTCTTGTGTCCAGCTCTTCGATAAATATTTCCACATAATAAGTCTCTCTTTTTGAGCGGCTAGTTGAAATCCATGAGGGGAAATACAGTCTTAAATATTAAGAAGGGCCAGAGAATGATTTAACGATGAAATACTTTCTTCTTTTTCCTTAGCTAGCTCCCTTGAGCTCTAGGGAAGATGCTAGTGTAAGAGCAAGGAATGGCACTAATCTGGTATTCATTCCCAGTCCCTTACTTCTGGCTTCTCAAAACATAGATGTTTGCTTATACACAGAGGATATTTCCTGCACAAACAGCCCTAAATCAGCCGTCAAATTTCCCTGAGACTTTAAAACAGCCTCTTGTGTAGTTTTGTTCTATTCTTTTATTTAAAAAGGCTAACACTAGCCTAGCTGTGCTTCATTGATAATGGATTGGGATATAGAGGTCAAGATTTTGTGGGATGTGAGTGGCAAAGCAAGATTAGGTATAGGTCTGGGTCAGTTATGGCGGCTGCATTGTGCGAAAGTGTCAAGGGAGGGAGTTGAGCAACAGGGTTCATTTTTCTTTTTGTCCATGAGCAAATTATTTACCATTTAGAATGCACTGGACATGGCCTTCATAAATAGACACAGATATTTTGTTAAATCAGAATCCCAAGGAGAGGTGGAGATTTCCAACACTCATCTAGTGCTTATTCAGTTACTGGATACCGTACCCATCCTGGTCTTTGAGCACCTTACATAATGAAGATATGGAAGAACCATGGGTCCCTGCAGTCACTTCAGAGCCTTAGGTTTGAAAATTTGGTGAGAGGCGGGTTAGACCTTATTTTTCATCTTATGTGGCAGGAAGGAGGAAAGAAGTGAGGGAAGAGAAAGGATAAGAACATTCTGGTAGCAGGGGGTGCTTTGGGTGGTTTCAATCCACGAATCACTTTGAGAAAAAAGAAAAAAATACCAGACAACGCATAAAGAATCAAACTGTGGTAGAAAGTCATCATAAATTTCCACCTGGCATGGTTAGTTAAGTACAGAAGTAACACCTACAAAATAGGCTTAAAGCAATCAAACATTTCTGAAACTCAGTGATATGTCTACATTGAATAAAACAGCCTTTGCTTTCAATGTTACATCATTGTGATATTTACTCACATTAACTACTTTTCCCTTTTAATTGTGTTTTATAGAAGAATGATGAAGACCTTTTTAAATGAAAGGTGTTCATGAACATGCCTGAGGTCGACCAGCAACTCATAAAAGGTATGAGGGTTCCCTTTTGTTCTGTTACTTGACTTAAATGGGAATGCACTGGGCCCACGTCTCCTTTGGGACATGTTACACACCGGGGTAATGTGCCATTAGCAGCTCTAGGTAACATTTTCCACTACCCAAGAAATTAAGAACCTCTGATAAGCTGGGTATTTTGAGAATCTTGAAAAGTATTTATATATAACCCTAACAAACTAGAATTTCCATTTTATCAAGCCAGGCCATCAGAAAAGTAGCATCCACCTTTTCACCTTCATCTCACCCTCTTCTTAGAGGAGAAAGAAAGAGTGATCCCATTTAATTCCTCAAAATGTTGGAGTCTACATATATTTTTAAGAAGTGCTTATTAATTTATAAGAGGCCTGAAGTAAATGATCACAAAAGGCAGTCTAGAAATAACTTTTGTGTGATCTTCATTTCTTACCATAAATAAATTTAAAAAAATTTGGTTGCACAAACAGGGAAGACTGTTCCTACTTATAGATTATCTTTTATTTTTAAATAAAATCAATGAATTATTTGTTGAAATAAGTTGGTCAAGTTTTCTGATAAAGAAAGAAATATAATGACTTCCTCTGAGAAGCAACAGTCACTCAGTGAGGAACTTGAGGTTCAAAGATGTCTGGCATAGAAGCCCTCTGAATCATGGTAGAGTGTCTATTTTGGATGGAACGACATGTGGAGTAGCTGATGTAACATATGGCAGTGCTTTCCATGATTCCAGAGTGACAGCCATAATAACTTGGCTTTATTGTGGTAGGTCCATTCAGAGAATACTGGCTGCTAGGATTTTGTCAGAAGAGTATAAATACTAGGGGTTTAAAGCAAAATCAAAAGAGCAACTTAATTTATGCATTCACTATAAAGTGTCCATCCTTTTGTTACAACCATAAAAGAAACAGAGCAAACGATTCATGACATCTGGCTCTAATTCTCCATCGAGGTGCTTATATACATATAATATAATCCAATACACTGTAGGTCAAACAGAGGAAGAAAAATTTGTAACAGCTGGTCACCACGGTATTGTAGCTGATAGTTACAGATATTGAATAGGTCTAAGACTACATACATACATGGAACGATATTCTCTTGTAGAATTCAATGAAAAATAAAACAAACAACCACAATATAAACTACTTTCCCCGTTTCTTCAATGTGCCTCTCCAGTTGCATCGATTATGTGGTTACCCAGCAAGTGTCATACTTCTGTCAACTGCTGATGTCAGAACCCTCAGAGAACTGCCATAGATTGAGATCTCTTTGAAAACTGGTGAGTAACAGGTTTCTTTGCCCTTTTCTTTCCTTTTCCAATTTAGAGGACACCAATCAAAATATTATATATGAACACAAACTAGTTACTACAACAGCCCATTAAAAGTTGACTATACGCAAAAGGAAGAGAATGTTGGAGGCCATGTGTATGTGTATCAGCTTTTCTCAAGAAAAAATATCCACATTCTAAGGGCTCTCAAAAATGTAGAAAACTTGCCCTGTTACCATGGGTTTTTAGAACACCTCTAAACACACACAAAATAAGACAGATATTACCTACAAATTTCAACCATTGCTTAAACTCTAAAAGCATTTTTTGTATTATTTTGATACAGAAGGGAAAACTCATCTATAAAGAAATATTAAAAAGTATTTTTTTTTTTTTTAGTGATCAGTCTCAAGAGTATTTTGCTGCAGCCTTCCCCAACTTGTGCTGATATTTTAAGGATGTGCTCGAGTGTATGAAGCAGGGTGCCTTTGTCCCTTTCCCTCCTCCCTAGCAGTTCCCTCCTCCCCATCCCATAGCCAAATAGCCACCCGTCAGATGAGCCATTCCTTTTTGCTTTCATCAATGGTCTCTGTGAAGTTGGGGTCGTTGTTCATAATGGCAGCATCCGCGCTCTCGGCCGACTCCGCTCCCTTCGCTTCATTGGTGTGGTAGGTGCCCTTGTGACGGAACATGTACCGGATGAGGAAGACCAAGGTGCAGAGGATAGTGAAAATCACCACAGCAATGACCCCTGGGGCAGAAAGGAGAAGAGCCAGCGGTTAATCGAACCTTACCCAACCCTCCGGCACTTCTTTCCCCACTTCTCCACAGTGCTCTCCAACATTACCCCTCCCCTATACGCGACGAAAACTCCAAAGCTACCACCAGAAAGACAACAAAAACAAGACTTCTGTTTCTGGACATGAAGGGATAAAAGAAACAACAGGAGTAACTTGACTTCAAGGTAAATGTAACTAAAATACTGGACGAAATGCATGAAATAACAGCTTTCAGACACTGGATGACGGGCAGAACTAAATCACCATCCCTGAGAAAAGAGAAACAAAAAAGATGAACCCTACATTTTCCCTAGTTTTCTGACTGGTGGTAATTACTGGACAGCAACGTACCGAGGGACAAGATAAACAGTGGTTTCTCTGAACTGGAGAGAGAAAGAGAGAGAGAGGGAGGGAGGATGATAAGGATAGAAATACTCCAGCAAACTGCACAGAAATCTCTTTGCATCTGTGGCCAAGTGCTAATATGTGCATGTGAGATTCCACAGAGCCAGGCAAAGAGCAATGACTCAGGAGCTGTAGGCAGAAGAGATTGCCAGAGCTCACACAGGGCTAGGAGATGTTCACACTCCAACGAACTGCTGTGGAGAGGCCTTGTTACTGGCAAACGCCAGTATGGCTATTTTTACTTGCGGTCAATGAACAAGAGACAGAAGCTACAGAAGAAGAGAGGTTTTTTTTCTTATTTTTTCCCAAGAATTATTTTATTTTTATTTATCATTATCATTATTTTTTAATTTGCTACAGGGCATATGTGCTCACCAGAGAGAGACAGAGAGAGAGTGAGGGAAGGTGAGAAAGCAAGTTGCCAAATCCGGGACTTGAACTGCAGTCGACCATGTGGGAGTCCAGTGCCTTAACTGCCATACCACCTGCGAGTCCCAAGGGAGTTTATTTCTAAATCAGGTTACAGGGAGATAGTAATCAAGCCCCACCAAACTGTCTCTAGAAGCTCAGCATGTGGTCAGTTCTTAAAAATACAAGCATGTGCAAATCACGTCTTACTTCGGCCGATCAAACTCATTTGATTTAGCCTGATTCCTGCTTTTCTTCAAGTACCCACTCCTAGTTTCTCATCTGACCCTTCCTCAAATAGACCTCCCCACGACTCAGCACTTGGTTGGACTGTTCTCATTTCAAACTTTTCAACTTCTTAATTTCAAAATAGCTGCAGTCCCAAGACCTCAAACTGGCCTGCTTTAACCTCATTGAATAAACAAAGTATTTAACACAAACTATACAAGGGTCATGCTGATCACGTTTTGCTAAAACAGACCTGAAGTAAAGTTACTCACTATCTGCCTTTCAAACGCTTTAAAACAAGACAAAGAATATCACACTATAAGTCACACGTAAGAAAAGATATTGCAAAAAGTAAGCGTGTCTGTCAGGAGCACTGGAGCAGCCAGCTCAGGTAGGCCTAGGAGCTTCCACTAATCCTTTAAATGCACAAGAGTGTCAACCTAGGCCCTGTGCAAAGAGGAGCAGGCACAGGGATGGAGGTCAGTTAGCCTAACTGCCTACTGAAACAAACCTCGGTATTTATTAAAGAATGACAATAAAACCTCAAAACTTAATGTAATATTGATAATGTCTAACAACAAATAAAAATAATAATAATAACCAAGTGGGACTGGCAGGTGGTGTAGTGGTTAAGGTGCTAAACTCCCAAATGACAGACTGTGGCTCAAATCCTGGACCTGACAGCTTGCTTTCTCACTTTCCCTCTTTAAAAAATAGTAATAATAAATAGGGACCAGCAGATGGCATAGTGGTTACATTGCAAGACTGCCACCAGGCCAACCACGGTTTGAGTCCTGGACCTGGAGGCTCGAAACTCATGCTGAGTACATGTGCATGTGTGCTTAGAGTCACGAGAGGAGAAAGGAGGAGGAGGGATTGCAGCATGGCCATCTCCCCTGGTGGAGTTATTTCTCACTTTCTGTCTCTGTCTCTCCAGTGAGCACATGTGCCCTATAGCAACAATCTCTCTCTAAAAAAAAAAAAAAAGAAAGAAAAAAGAAATGAATTGCCTTAAAAAATAACCAAGCATGTCCCCCCCCCAAAAAAAAAAGTAGAAAAATATCACTTGACCAGGAAAAAGGTCATTCAACTGGAAAGAGATCCAGAAATAATGAAATCAGTACCTAAGAATATTAAAACAGCTATGGTAAACATACATGGCGATTTAAAGGAAAATATGATTGTAATAAGAAGAAAAATGGAAGATACAATGTGAGACAAAGTGGATCTTGTAGAGGTGAAACATATGGTATCTGAAGAGGAAAAGATACTGGATGTAATAATACAGATTAGACAAGATGGAAGATAATATAACTGATCTAAGCACTACTATTAAGAAGCAGAGACAGAGCGGACACCAAAGGAGCCAATTCCATGATAGCTAGCCATTCCGCCATCTGCTGGTCCCCCTTCACTAAGATACCTGCAATCAGACCGGCATGTTCCCCCAGTTTTTGTAGTAAGCTTTCCTGGCAGCCGTCACCACTGCCTCCTTGCACATGCAAAGCATATCTAGCCCACAACTACTCTTTTTAAAAAAGTTTACTTATTTATTTCTTCCATGAGAGAGAGAAAACCAGAGGGAAATGGACAGAGAAAAATTAAAAAGAGAGGCACAGAGAGACAGACAGAGACAGAGACCAGGTACCCCTAGTAGTCTTCATGCGCTGATCCCCCCCACCCACCCAGTCTCTGCCAGTCCAGATCAAGCCTGCTCACAGGACATGAACCCAGAACTTTTCCCACGTGAGAATAGTCGCATTACTGCTGTGTCACTACCTGGCCTTCATTCTTCCTCTTCTTCACCATCTATTATCGTTACTTTTTGACAAGTTGTCATGAAAAAGTACCAGGATTACATTTATTGGTTTCTCCATATCATATTTCACAATCTTATGTTTTTCCCAGACAACTGTTTTACTAGGACTGTTACTTTCCACAGATGCGCACCACGCGAAGGCCTGTCTCTGCATCACCTACCTCCGATGATGGCCGAGTTCCTGTTGACTCCGTTTCTTATAGCTTGGCCTTGTCCTGGGTTATATGGAAAGTCAGCGCTGGCTGTGTAGGAGGGAACAGAGTCAAGTGTGAGAGTCAGGTACACCACTGAGCCCAGGCACTTTGATTCCAGTATCTTCAGACAGCTCTTCAACACCTCCTGTTTTCCCAAACGAAATCCCCATTTCCCATGGACCATCTCACTGTGGCTTCCCATGAGGGTCACAGTGACCTCCATCCCTGTGCCTGCTCCTCTTTGCACAGGGCCTAGATTGACACTCTTGTGCATTTAAAGGATTAGTGGAAGCTCCTAGAGCTACCTGAGCTGGCTGCTCCAGTGCTCCTGACAGACA